CCCCCCCAGCTCATGGGCACCGACTAACACCTTTGAAAAACCTGAGAAAACCCAGCATGTGACACAAAGGTTGAGAATGACAGCCTAACTGTGCTTTTCATTTGCGATACAGATTACATTTTTACAGTCCACTTACCATTTGATCACTGTAATGCTTCTCAAAATTATTCCAGGTCTAAAATGCTCCAGGTTATAAATAATTATACAAAGTGTTTTATAATATTATAGCAAACAAAAACACTCAATACAGAACTTAAAAGATAAAACGTTAAGACAACATGGCGTCTTTAAGTATGTTTTGGTTCCCAGGCAGCTAATGTTTTTAGGTTCACGATGGTTACGCCCAGTGATGCCACCCAGTGATGCCACCCAGTGATGCCACGCTGAGGCAGGTCTAGCAGTGAAGGGGTCGGCACAGAGAATCTCAAAGCAGTGTTTGTAACTGACATTTTCGATCGATCCTTATGACATTCAATGTAGGCAGGGAGGGGAACTCCCTGCTGGCGTCAAAGCTTTCAAAGGGTCAGAATAAAAGACCGTTTTAGAGTCCATGCAATGAGATGAAGCAGCCATTTTGCTCATCCAATCAGCAGCCTCCTTTCGAGTCTAAGTGGCAGTTCTTCTGTGTTATATCTTTAAAAAGACCCAAGCTTAGGTGAGTCTGACTGGAATCAGCCAATAGTCACGGATCTCCTCAGCTCACCACGACTTTGATGACCTTATAATCAGTAGGTATCGTAGAGGTTTCCACCGTTCAGCCCAAAGACAAGCAGTTAGGCTAACTGGCATCTCCAAGGTGCTCATACGGTAGTATTGGCCAAAATGATCACCATTTGCAGTGTTTTTTGAGCCCACTAGATGGTGCTCTTGGCTTCCTTTTGGGCATGCTTTGAGTCCCCTTTTTGAACATAGAGCCCCATCTAGTGGGGACAAAAAAAGAGAGCAAATGGTTCAGGAAGCATCATTTTGGTCACTACCATACTGTACTGTATGTGCTCTGCAATGGCCTGGCATCCCATCCAGGGCACTCCACTGCCATGTGCCCATGGATGCCCATGGATGCCGCTGTGGCTTACCGCTGACTGAGAGCTCGGCAAGCTTCTCCGGGAGGTCGGAAGAGCCAGCCCCCGAGGCCGAGCCCAGGATGTCGGGCAGCGCGTTCCGCCGACCTGTCCTCCCCGTCGCTGCGAAGTCGGTGACAACAGGCTCCACGTCCGTCATCACTGAGTCCGAGTCTGCATAGCCCTGTCTGAAAGACCAAAAGAATTCCTCATTTTGGCGTTGAACAGTAACAGGACAGTGTGTCATTTTATACACGCACACAGCATTTTATACTATAGGGCGACTAAATATTGGAATGACCTAAAAATATATCGATGTCAAGGACCTGTTAAAGAGTAGGTCCACCCTTTGCCTTCAGAATAAGTTTGATATTTCTTGGAACCAGTCACATGCGACCTGAACCGTTTGTGGTGGGATCATTCGTGAGGAAAACAGCTTCCAGATCTGTGAAGGATGAGTGAAGAAGGAAATCTGCTTCACACTTGCACTCTAGAACCCAAAAAGATCGGGTGACTGGGGGTGGGGTGGGGGGCTAGAATGTGTCTGACTTCATCCTGGCTTTCATGAGACCATTTCTGAAGTTATTTAACAGAGATATGGAAATGGGCATGTCATGAGGGAACTGTATTTGCATTGTAAGATTCACCGGGTCCTGTAAGATGGGTTGATATCCCTAGGCCATGATACAACCAACCAATAAATTCCAACCTCGTGAAGCTCATCATGTACAGCTTATTCTGAGAGCAGCTGGTTCAGTTCTCTGGTCACAAAGCTGCACTTGGTGGTGTTTAGGACTCTCCCACTAAGTGTTCGCCCATCCCTGTCGGTGAGCTTCGACCTGCTGGCACCATTTCTCCTCCCTGGTGCCTTTTGTCAGTGTTTAACATATGCCACCACGATTCCCGACACTGCAGAATTACCTGATGTGTGAAGGGGAGCCGAATTTTGTTGCACCTGCAAGCACTGTCACTCCGTTACCGGCCTAGTGTTGCCGCGAAACCTCACATAACAGCGTGCTGAATGCCAAGCTGACGCACAATGCTAGGAATTTAAAGTGTTTATTTATAATGGGGGTGGAAAAAGTAATGGAAAAATCACATGAAAAGGGATAGTAACTTAGAAGTAACCAAAGCATAACATTATTCACACACAAGTTTATTATAAAACATAATCAATTTAAAAATGTATTAAACGAGTATCATAACGGATCACAGTTATTACTTCTGACTGTTTAACCCTCAGCCGTATGACTGACGGGTCCGTCGTCTATTCTGGCTGTATTATCGCTCCCTCGGGCTGGATTTGCATTGGCGTAACGATGACAAGGGCGATATGGGCCAGCGCTGAGCCTGGCTATGCAGCAGTGAAATATAAACTGGAGATGACAGAGGCTAAGTCATGATTAACATGGATTTAGACTGTTACAAGTTACAAAGTGCCACTTTGATTTCCAAAGGGAGGCGTGAAGGTATCCAAGTGGAACAAATTCATTCGTGAAGACTGCAAAGATCCAGCTCACCATTAGATGGTAAGGAAAATACAGAAATATTGTTTAACTCTCCATGTAGTACCCCAGCCATCAGCAAAAATCAGTAATTGACTACAAATCCCCACTATGGCAATCCTGCAACGAAAGACTGTTCCCATTTTTGATGAAAGAAAATTTTAATTATGGACTCACAATGCATCCCTGGTACTCCAGTCTTGTGCACTCTAGAAAGGGTTCTAAGCCCCCTTTGATCCTGTCCAGGATAAGGGGTTGACAGGTAGTTACATCGGATGTTATCTACTCCCCATAGTGGATTTCTAAGCCATCTGAAACCCTCCTTTAGGAGGACAACAACTTGTCTACTTCTCAAAGACAATAACTGCAGCACCAAGCCTGCATTGTGGGTGATTGTTTATGGTAGAAGTTTATGGATCAATGCTGAGAACTTTCTGGCACATCATCAAATGAAAAACTTGATTCATAAGGAGGATATTAAACAGACAATACCCACAGAAACTGACACCACAGCTGTAAAGAATTTAATTCGTGACCTGAAGGTTGCTTGATCAAGACCCAGTGAACCCGTTGTACCTGTAAGTAGAGAAGTTAACCTACATTTCTTTATTAAATGCACAGATTTTTTTGTACAATTGGAAATTTTTTACAATTAGTAGCTGTTTAATAAGGATACACCTGGTCAGATGTTAGATATCCATGAAAAGATCAGTACCAGAACAGTGCATCCTACCTTGCATTCTCATAATTTTCTCATTGATTAAAAAAATAATAAAAATATTATTACTGACAGGAAGAAGCATGAGTAACGTGCTTTTTACAGGCTGGCAAGGAACAGCCAAGCACGTGGCATGAAGATGCATCCTGAAGCCTCCCTACCTTCGCAAGATGGTTTGCCAAGACCGACCCATGCATCTGTGCAAGATGATATAATCACCTCGATGTCACGGACCTTTGGCAGCCAACTAGGCAACGACCATCGAGTCACACCTGCTGTTGACCGATAGGACAGTTACAGCCACCGTTAATTTGTTTTTGAGCACACGGTCATTTATGATTGATCGTTCCATAAACCCTGCTATTAACGGCTAGAGGATTACAGCCATCATTTCTAGGTGAATTGCTTTGGGTATCCAGGGATCTGTGATATTTTTGTACTTGCAAATTCAGCAGCATTTGACACACAACAGTATTACCACTGTACATGTGATCAATGCAACAAAGTTTGATTTGACATCCCCATTACAATGGATCCATGAACCCAAGAGGCCAGAATTGGAAAGTTGTTAACTTTGGACATGAAGCAAAAAAAAAAAACACGTCTGGCTATTTATGCAGGTGTCCTCTTGGTGGCGCTGGCTTCTATCCTTTTATAATTTTTATTCCCGTTTAGTGGGATCTCACAACTTCAACTTATGCTATAACTTTACTGGTAAGAACATTCCAAACTGCACGCCTACTGATTTGTTTAGATTATGATCACGTACATTTTCCATTTGTAAGGCTCTCAGTACTCCTGTGGATTCAAATATGCTGGTCACTATATCTCTCTTTGTATCCATTTTGTTATAGTT